TTCCTCTTACGGCTTCTTTGTAGATCTTCATCATCGCTGGTTGTTGAAGACGAAGACGCCCGACACACATTTTCTTCCCTTTCTGACATATTAACACTGGACTACAACTTCTAAGACTTACTTAAATTGTTATTTAAAATTTAAAAATATCTATTTTCTCGAACGCTAGCAGCGTTAGGATAGTTCGCGGCACGAAAGTCAAGACGCCAATGAAGCAAGCTGCGTTGCTCGCCACCTGGTGAACTCGGCGTCCGGCGGGAAAACATATTTCAGCGATAAAAAGGACTGCAACGACTAAAATGGCGGCCGGAAGACAGACTGTCATCTCAATATTGTTTACAAGGCCTCGAATAACGGCGGAAGGACATAATAGACTATCTTATAAGATAATGATCACCTTTAGAATACACTGGCATTTGTTCGCGACTTCATCCACGTGAAATATAAATATAGCCTATGTTACTCAGCGTTAACGTACCTTTCTAATGGTAAAAGAATTTGTAATCGGCCCAGTACTTTTTGAGTTTTTTCAATACATACAAAAATACAAATCTTTCCTCTTTAATATCATACTTCATACTAAATTATAAATGTGAAAGTTTAGATGGATGGATGGATGTTTGTTAGAGTTTGTAGCTTAAACTGGTGAACAGATCTCGATGAAATTTGGCACAGATGGAGAGGATAGTCTGGAAGAACATATAGGATACTTGGTTTTTTTTTTTAATACCACGCAGACGGAGTCGCGGGGTAAAGCTAGTATTAGTATAAGAGTATATACAGAATGTGATGTTTAGTTTGAATGGTGGTTGTGCACAGCCGCAAGCGATCGACCCCCTGCTGCGCGGCTGCATGTCGGAGCTGCTGGTGCCGCTGGGCGACGAGGCGCTGTGCGTGCGCCGCGTCGCGCTCGTCGCCTTCAACTGCGCCGCGCACAACAAGCCCTCGCTGGTGCGCGACCTGCTGCCGCGCCTGCTGCCCGCCATTTACCAGGAGACCAAAGTCAAGGTATACTAGCTGCTGGACTACTTGTGACGAAGAAAAAAAAAGACGAGCTGAGACATAAACTACAATAATGCAAAAGTACATTCTATCAAGGTAGGGTGAACCCTACTAACATTCTTCTTGTATTGAAGGTTAGTAAGGTCCACTGATGGTGGTATCAGTGACGTGTGAGATGACGGAATATAGATTAATCTGTAGGAAAAATACCTAGCGCAATATTGGCAAAGTTCGCTGTAACATTGCACTATAGGCCCGGCTCGCATAAATGTCGTCTTTTTGCGAGTCTCCTCCTCCTTCATTTGCAAGTCGCTTCGCGTTTTAGCAAATTCAGGATGTTTAAATATGTGAAATGTGTTCCAGAAAGAGTTGATCCGGGAGGTGGAGATGGGCCCCTTCAAGCACTCGGTGGACGACGGGCTGGACCTGCGCAAGGCGGCCTTCGAGTGCATGTACACGTTGCTGGGCACCTGCCTGGACCGGCTCGACGTGTTCGAATTCCTGCGCCACGTGGAGGACGGCCTGCGCGACCACTACGACATCAAGATGCTCACCTACCTCATGTGTGCGAGGCTGGCGCATCTCTGCCCCGCCGTCGTGCTGCAGAGTGAGTGCAATGCTATTTGTATAACACATGTAGGGTTTGTTGCCTAATATAAAGATTAATCATACTAATATAAATGCGAAAGTTTAGATGGATGGATGTGTGTTAGACTTTGTAGCCTAAACTACTGAACGAATCTCTAAAAAATGTAGAGGATAGTCTGGAAGAACACATAGACTACTAACTTTTTTAATTCCACGCGGGCATAGTCACGGGCGACAGTTAGTATTGATTAGTGAAAAAAATAGCAATATTAGAACTGGGGAAATAAATGTTTATTGTGAAAAATGCAACACTGAGTTATTAATAAGAAAACTTTATTAGACATAAAACAGTTTTTTTTTTATCTGAGGGAATGTCTACTGAATTAGTTAAAATAGTGTTTTGGCAGATAGAGCCTTCTTTCGAACTCTCGTCTTGGGGTTTTCGTGGGTAAAACCGCACATAACCCTGTCTTACCCCAGAAGGCAGTGTATCTTCTGGGAATTTTCCCCACGATACCAAAATAGGGCTTTCTGGTATCAATTACCTAATATTATTAATAGGAATCAAATGTTAAAGATACATTAAAAGATTTAGAGTGCGATAGTATTTTAAACTCGGTATTTAAACAATATGTGTGGTGTATGTGACGTAGGACTAGAGAGCCTGGTGGAGCCGCTGCGTGCGACGTGCACCATGAAGGTGAAGGCAAACTCCGTGAAGCAGGAGTACGAGAAGCAGGACGAGCTGAAGCGCTCCGCCCTGCGCGCCGCCGCCGCGCTGCTGCAGATACCGGAGGCTGGTCTGTACACCCCCCACCCCCCACCACCCCCTTTTTATTTTTACCCCACCTCCTTTTAGTACCAATCCTTAAACCTCCTTTCATTTTCTCTTGCGATATTTTTCATTTACTCTACTCGTGGACAAAGTTAGTTATACAGCTAGTTTATTTATTTATAAAGTACACCAACAGGTGAGTTAAAGAACAGTCTTATTCGAAATAAATTATAAGGCACAAGAATGATAACAAAACTAGTAACATTGTTAAAGAAAAAAAAGTAAACACAAGGTTTAGTTTACAGTAAATATGGAACAAACAAGATAAGATTAACTAATTAAATAAAAAAAATATTATAACAACTTAATTAATAAAATAAATTATTATATTGTTACAGAGAAAAATCCACATTTAATGGACTTCGTGACGCAGATCAAGTCTATGCCGGAGCTGCAGCCGATATTCGAGTCTATACTGAAGGACGCGTCGGGCGCCGCCGACACCAACCTCATGGACCAGAGCTAGCCTACTCGCCCCCATCAGCCCCCCAGCCCCCCAGCCCCCACATCTCACCCCCAAACTATTTTATATAATATCGTGTTTATTGTTTCTTTTTTGTTCGGTGCGTGAAATGTTATTTGAATTAATCTTATTGTAAAAATGTTTAGAAATAGATCTCTCTATAAAACTCATCTGTATTTTAGCTGTCGATGGAAGAAATTGATGATTCACGACATACAAAATAATGTCTACGTAAAAACGTCGAAGCTTGTAAAAACAAGCCTTACTCATATTGATAAGTCGTTTATGAATAGCAAAATTTGTTTTTAATAGAGGATTCTATTATAAAAATGATTTGATAAATAAAGCCGTAAGGATCTAAATTAAACGCCTATTATTTATTGATCAGATTTATTACAAAATTACAAGAACATTACAAACAGCAAACCATTTGGTAAACATGGTGTTACGATCTCATCTTATACTAAGGAGGCGAAATATCTCAAACGTCACATTACACATAGACAACAATATAAAAAAAGGAATTTTGGTTATGGCTTGATGGACCACAGACTATATTAGCCATAACCGCAAGTTTGCCGTAACAGTTGAACAAAAACATTTAGATTTTTCACAGAGAATGACAAGGATGGAAATTATTTTGTACAGATATTTCGAAAGTGAAACGAAACGTTTACGTTTAGGGATGCACGATTAATTTCAAATAATCCACGTTCGTAATAATGGCGTCATACTTGATTCGATAATAGTTCGCGTATAAATCGATTTCGCAGACAACATTACCAAATTATTAAATAGTCTTAGTAAAATGTACTGAGATTTTTTTTGAGTACTAATACGACAACTATTAATACGATAGAGTTAGGCATAGCCGATAGGTTCAATCGATAGGAATCGATTCAACAATCGACTTATGACCATATTTCCCATGTCTAATACCGAAGCGTAACGTGCATCCCTATCACACTGATTTATACATTAAAATACATAACACAGTTTCATAAATTTTTCAATTCGTAATAAAATAATATTATACATTTATAATAATTTATAATTTAATTTAAAAAGACGCTACTGTGTTCTTTTCATTTATCAAATTAGATCGGGCGCACACTCTTGACTAAATTATCGCACAATCAATGTGCGATATTTTTGTTTCGCAGCCAATTTAATTGTTTAGTTGCACGACTAAAAATTGAGTGGCGTGCGCACCTCCATATATGCTCATAGGAATTAAAGCGCTCTTAGTCATATTTCTTATCGTTTAGAACGTTTTCCAGATGAAAGGATTTTACAGATATGTACTGTGATATAACACGCTATGTGGAGAAATCATGAGTTTTCATAAGTCCATAATAAAATAAATAAAGTGAAACGCAGTTTGTCACTTATTTCCCTTTCCTCTTAGTGCCTGGAGTTGTACTTGATGCTCGGGGAGTTCGTGTTTCACTCTGTTATAAAAATTAAGACAAATCAGCAAATTCTTTCAAAACTAGCTGTTGCTCGCGACTTCGCCCGCGTGAAATTAAAAAAATATAGCCTATTTTACTCAAAAAAATTACCTTCCTAACGGTGAAAGAATTTTTAAAACTTGGCCCTTCGGGGCCAATTGTGTATCAGAAGTTTTTGAGTTATTTAAATACATATAAAAATACAAATCTATCCTCTTTACATTAGTATAGACAACAACAGTAGTAAAATTCCAAATAATTCATGTGGTTCGTAAACTACAGAAGCAAATTTTTAAGTAAGAACTCACGGGCTTAGCCGGAGATTGTCGTGTGAGCGCGCTGGCGCTAGCGTTGCGCAGTATGGGGCGCGCGCTGCCCGTGCTCGCGGACGAGCTCGCGCGCTCCGGACTCTGCTCTTTGCTGTATATAAATATAACATTACGTATATGTACTGAATATTTACAAGAATAACTTTTAAAACTTCGCATACCTGCTCGTTCGTGATATTTGTCCTTTTCTACTAAACATGTCGGAAATACGTCCCCGTAAATCTCGTTTGCTGCCCGCCGCGCTCATATCCGAGTCAGAACCCTGCAATTACAAAAGACTTATAAAAAATAACAGTTCTGGTGTAAAAGTAAAATATTGTACCCAAATAGCAAACCTGTGAGACAGTGCCGATAGGTCTGAAGTCTACGACCTCCGCGTTTTCGACGTGGTCGTCAACAGACCGCGATTTCGTGAGTTTCTTCAGTTTGCCGAATATGCTCTTTTTCTTCTTCTTTTCTGACGGCAGCACATCGCTCTGTGCCGACCCTCCCGACAGACGACTGTAATAAAATGCTAATTTTAACAAGAGTAACCTTCAACGTACCTACAGTCCTGGATATTACAAATTATTTTCATAATTCAACACATAATTATTGCGAAAATTTGAAGGCGAAGTTAAAGAAAGTGGAATAGATTTTTTAAAATTGGTTATGCAATTAATCATTACAGTTGAACAAAACGCTACCTGTCGAGGCTGGAGTCTCTCGGCAGCGTGTAGAGGCGCGAGTCCTCGCCCTCCAGCGACTGCATCGACGACACGCTGCCCTCCTCCACTGACATCCATATCGTGCTCTGGAAATAAAACTGTCAATCTTACTAATATTATAAATACGAAAGTTTAGATGGATGGATGTTAGAGTTTGTAACCTAAACGGATTTCTATGAAAATTGGCATACATGTCCTCTCCATAGTCATAGTTTGGGAGAACACATAGGCTACTCTCGTTTTTTTTTAATTCCACGCGGAGTCGCGGGCGAAAGCTAACATCTAAACATAAGCTTTAGGTGAATAAGACAAGTAAGACAAATTAAGGTTCACCTGCTCCTTTGTGGTCTGTTCGAGCGATATAGAACGTTTCTTGAGCGAGGGCGCACGTGACGGCGTGCGCGTCGCCGGCGATACAGACATCGCGTCGCGCGGCTCAGCCGTCATGCCTCTGCAACGTTATTAAAAGGTTATAGTTAAATAGTGGTAGTGTTGGAGTTACACAGTGTTAATCAATGAGTTTCTTGCGGCAATGTATCGCAAGAAATCGTGGACAAATTCTGATATCATTATAAGTAAGTAATAGAAGTCAATTTCCTAAAATCGTAAATCAACAAAAAGTTTTTGATTTATCTAAAGATAGTCACGATTTAAGTGACAAATAATACAGGAGTACCTGTATAATAACCTTGTAAAGTTTCTTCAGGTAAGTGATGTGAGTGATGTGATTGATGTGAGTGATGTGAGTGATGAGAGTGATGAGAGTGATGAGAGTGATGTGAGTGATGTGATTGAGGGCCGAGTGTACCGTCTGGCGCCGGTGGCCTGATGGCGGCGCGCGCGCTCGGCGATGCGCGAGGCGCGCAGTTCGTCCGTGAGGCGGCGCAGTCGCGCGGCGGTGGCAGCCGCGCTCGCTGCACCTGCCGCCTCCGCGCTCTCCGGCGTACCGGACCGCGACCGTGACTTTGAAGACTATACGAAAAATAAACTTTTAAGACTAATAAATTATCACTTTTACTATAAAATACTAAAAAACAAGAAGAAAAGGTTTAGATCAATCAATGCTATATGAAAATCAAATCGTACTCTGTTTCGTCTTGGAGGTGTGGGTGTCATCAAACTCTTCTCCGGTTTGACGGGCTGTTCGCGGAACAAGTCGGGGCTCTGTTTCATGAGATCGTCGATGGTTTCCAGAAGTTGTGTAATAACTCTGTCGTCCTCCTGCAAGATAGGAAACATTTATCATCAGAGATACAGATTCGATCAAAAAGGATTGCAGTATTGCTTCAATCATATCACTAGATGGTGAAGTGTGTGTAGTTGTGGTATGTTAGTGGGCCGCGTGCGCACCTGCTGCGCGCGCTTGAGCGAGGCGACGAGCAGCCTGTGCTGGTCGCGGTCGCGCTCGTGGCGCTCCTTGTCGCGGCGCAGCTTCTCGCTGGCCGTGCGCAGCTTGGCGTGCGCGTCGCGCAGCTCCAGCAGGTCGCACTGCAGCTCCGTCACCTGCACACACGTCGATACCAATAATTCTATACTATTCAAAAATCATTGTACTAATATAATATTTTACAAGAGTTTACCTTTTTCTTAGCCTCTTCAATTTCTTCTTCAGTCGTTCGTTTTAATTGCTCTATTCTTCTCTTCATGTCTAACCTCTCCTTGTCTCTTTCTCGCTCAACCTGTAAGATAATTTTTACTAAGGAGACGCTGTCACAGTCCATGAAAGAGAAGTTTATGCACGTGTGTGACCTCGAATAGCGTCTGCCGCAGGTCCCTGGCGAGCGTGGAGGTCTCTTGCAGCAGGCGCTGCTGCTCGTCGCGCTCCTTGTGCCACGCCAGCTCCATGCGCGTCGCCAGCCCCGCCACGCGCGCGCGCCCCGACGACAGCAGCCGCTCCTCTTCGTACTGCAATACGAATAAAAACTTTTACATAAAGAAAATGAGAATAAAAACACGTATCTGCCAACCTACAGATGAGTCACAATTGGCAAAAGGTTGGTAGTTAGAGAGCAAGGTAACAAATCCGGTGGTACCTCGTTCAAGCGAGACTGCATCTCTGCGAGGCGGACCTCCGCGTGCGAGCGCTCGCTGACCAGCTCCGTGTTCAGCTTGGAGGAGAGCAGGCGCGCCTCGCACAGCTCGTCCTCGAGGCACGCCATCTGCTGCTCCAGCACCGCCACCTTGTTACGGTACTCTTCCTGAAATAAAAAAAATAAACACATTTAAGGTTGTAGGGTCTATTTATTTCAGAGTATCATAGCAACCAACCTCGTCAGTGCTTGAAATGGATGCCCTGTGTGTTCGTTTTTCTCCACTCTTCAACTCTTCCATTGTCTTTTGAGCGGCTTCCAGCATTTGCTTGTAATTGTCACGTTCTCTTCTGAATCTACCTACCTATAAATATTTCAATATGATACTTTTCTTTAAATAAATTAGTGTTTTCAATCAATCTTTTGTAGTAATGTACATCATAAGATATTTAACACATTTCAAGTATTCTACGATTTGATAAATGGTTACCTGGTTGTGCAGCGACTTGAGTTCATCTCTCATGGTGTTCATCTGTCCCTCGTACCGTATCTTGGTGTCGGCGAGCTCGGCCTTGCGCGCGCGCTCCGCCTGCTCCAGCCGGCTGTTCATGGCGGCCAGCTCTCGCTCCAGCTCGACATTGTCCGCGGACAGATTCCTGTGCACTTTGCTCACTTTCTCGTAATCTTCTAACTTCTTACGAGCTTCTTCTAGCTACAAAAATACTGAATATTTGCAGGCAAATTCAATAAAAATAAATATACATCAGTTCTGTCAGTTACAGTATAGCTTGGGGACTCAATACTTATAGAAATCACTACTCACAAATTAATAGAAGATCCATTCCCTTAAATTCTTTAGTAGTAACTTAATGCCACAGCCGTTAGTAACTTAGGAAGGTTAGAAAACTAAGGCTATAACTATAAGAATAAAATATAAGTAAGAGACCTCTTTCTTGGTGATGTCCTGGTGGTGTGCGAGCACGTCGCGCTGGCCGTGCGCGTCGCGCAGCTCGCGCTCGCGCTGCTCCAGGCGCGCCTGCAGCCGCGCGCGCTCCACCTCCCAGCCGCCGCCGCACAGGCGCTCTTGTAGCGAAGATATCTCATTCTATACATAAAAACTAATTGACAGCGAGGATCAAGGACACATGACGTAATAGCTTTTTATGGTAAAAAGGAAATTAACAAGCACTTTTCGTAATGTTATGTTTACCGCACCTAGCCATTAAATTGTGGATGTTTAATTTTGGTTACGATACCTGTAGCTCAGCCTTTTCCTTATTTAAGTTCGTAACTTGCGTTTCCATTTTCTCTTGCAAAGATTTCAAGTCAGCCAGGGTTGCATTTAATTCTTTACGAACGTGTAACATTTCACTGTCGAAAGAAAACAAATAACTTTCGAGAACATCATTTGTAAAATGAAATAGTTAAAAACAGTAACATACCCTTGTGCTTGTTCCTTTTCTACAGTTAGTCGTGCTTTAGTGACAACGTGTTCCTCCTCGAGTAGTTCATATTTAACAGTTAACTCCTCGTATTCAGCTTTTTCCACGGCCAAGGAATGCTCCAATTCTGTAAAATGTGAAATTTTTAGTTACCGTTACTGACACTATTGTACAATACCAAAACGTTTTACAAACTTTTAATGCTCTCTTCATGTTCTTGTTTTAGCTCGCTAATCCTTTTTGCTCCTGCTCCAGAACTCTGTTCCAATATTTTTAATTTGCCTTTGAGAGTAGCCAACTCTGCTTCCTTATTCTTAATATCCTTATCGTGAGTAGCTCTAATCCTATCAATTTTCTTTCGTTCAACCTACAAAGACAAAAACCCCACTCCATAAACTTATTTCATTAAATACATACTTTAAAAATAATGTATTTTACTAACCTGTACATCACTCTCAAGTTCAGATGTTTTGTTTTCCCAATATTTAGATTCTTTCTTTTCTGTTTGCAATTTATTTTCTAACTCTTTTCGTTCGTTTTCATGTTTTGCTATTTCAGATTTTAATTGAGTTGTTTCAGTTTGTAATGTTGAAACTTCTTTTTCTACTCTACTGAGTTTTTGCTTAGCTGTTACCAATTCCTCTTCTTTATCTTGAATTTCTTTAGCTGCTGTTTCATATTTCTCTTTTACCTGTGATAATTCTGTTGATAAAACTGTCTCGTCGTATTTTTGATTTGATGTTTCTCGTAATGCATCTTCCTGTAATTTTAAAATGTTGGTGTTAATTTTTGAATTGTAATATTATTAAGGTAAGGAAAAGCTTTTAGAGATCTAAAACTAAAAAAACTCTACTAAATCGGACTTCTGATGCAGGATTGTTGGGTACATTCATTACAATGAAGGATTCTTATAAAACAATATTAGTTACAGGGTATCACGTCTTTTACAATCATTGTACCAGCTGTTTTATGTGAGTATCTTTTGCGGCTATTGTTGATTCCAGGTCTATGATTTTCTTATCATATTCTTTTTTTAAGTCTGTTATGTCTGTTTCTAGATTTATAAGTTTACTTTCAGATTTTATTAGCTTTGTTTGAAGTTCGTCTTTTTCGCTTGTAAATTCTATGGACGATCGTCTATGAGAGCTAATAAGGGCCTCCGCTTGCTGCTTCTCTTCAGTTAGCTTTTTAAAATAATCAAGAATTTAAATCGTATAAAGTAAACATATACTAAATTGTAATATATAGCTTTAATACAAGTCATCATTTTCACTCCACTAAACATATTAAGCAGTAAAATGAGATTTCGATATTTATATTAAATGAATATTGAGAGAATACCTCTTTCTGTAACTTCGAAACGCGATCTTTTTGTGACGAAAGCAGTTTTTCGTTCCGTTTGCATTTTTCTTCGGTTTCTTTAAGTTTTTTTTCTAGCTCAGTGATCTTTTTCGTTTTATCACCTACCTAAATAAATACAAAATATTGTATTTTATTATATCGGACACGAAAATGAATACAAAAAAAGGTCTAGAATTACTTACTTCTTTTAGTAATTTATTTTTGTCTTGCTCTAATTTATTAATACTATCAACCTGCTTTTTTAATTTATCAATTTCTTTGTCCTTTGTGTCCATTTCTTTTTTCAAGTCTTCAATTTTTTTCATGCAATCAGACATTGCTGTTTGGTGAGTTGAAGTTTTTTCTGAAATAAAGATTAAGTACGTTTTTTTAATATTGTGCATGTTATTCTGAAATTCGAAATAAATAAAAAATGAACTGACTTAAATCCGCATTGAGTTTAGAGATTTGTGATTCTAAATTTTTCTTTTCTTCTTTTAGTGCCTTACATTCAGATAATGCTTTTTGATTTTCAACTTCGAGACCTTTACATTTTTCAACGAAGGATACTTTTTCCGTTTCCAGTTTTGAATTGATGTCTTTAAGCTTTCCTATATCTGTTTGCAAACGGTTTTTCTCATTTTTAAAATCAGATTCGTTGCGTGACAGTTTTGATCTTATCTCCTCGATATCCTTTTCTAATTGGGCTTTGGCATTAATTTCTTGGGACGATAAACCAGCATTCTTCATTATAACATAGAGTTCACCTAAAAAAATAATAATTTGAATGAGTCACCATAATAATTTCTAAACATATGATTTCTTTTTAACTATTATCTTACCAATTTCATTTTCTAAATCATCTACCATTTTCTTCATCTGTAATTTTGTTGTTAAATCTGTTAATTTCTTAGGAGTTCGGGGCTTAAATGATTTTATCGCATCTTCTTTTAGTTCTTTAAGTGTTAGTTGTATTTTGGCCTTTTCTTTCTCCATCTAGAATTACACTTTGTTAGGTAACTTTTCAAGTATTATTTCCCTCACTGATATCAATTCCTTTTTACGTTTAGCTTGACTTACCTTACTGTAATTAAGCTTTAATTTATCTAATTCTTCTTGTTTTACTTTTAAAGTTTCAGCATCTTTTTTATTTAAATCACTACCAAATCTAACTTTCTTTTCAGTCTTTTCATCTTTCTCTTTATTGCTTTCTAAGTCCTTTATTTTCGCCAAAGCTTCCTTTAATTCGGTCTCCAGTTGAGTTAACTTAATGGACGATTGTTCTAAGTTTTTCTCTGATTTTATCGATTTGGCGTTCTTCATTAGCTGTAAGGGAAAAAAAAATTAAGCTACCTTAGAATAAAAGAAAACACATCGAAAACAAGATTATACCTGTAACTTTTTATTTTCCGATTGCAATTTTTCGTTATCTGCTTCTAAGCTTTGTGTCTTTGCTCGTAGAACATTAGCTTCTTGTTCTATAACTTGAAGTTGTCGTTTCAAGTCTACGTTTTGTAAATCATTTCCTCCATCAAGAGACCTTTATCAAACAAGAACAAATAAGCACACACAAGTATGAAATTATTGACTAGACGTTTGATACCTACTTGCTCTTTATCAATGATGCTTTTGGTTTCTTCTGGGCTAAACTTAGTTCTGCATGAAGTCTTTCACAGTCCCTGTCTTTTTCAATTAATTTCTTTCGCAATTCTGCAATTTCATCTTCTAAAACCTAAACAAAGATTATAATTTATTTGTCCTTCTTACGTTCAGGAAAACGTTTTAAATACGCAAGAATAAGACCTACTTTAACTTTTTCCTCGGCTAAATTGTTCGTTTTGCCTGCAGTTCTTCTAAAACCTGTAGTTGTCACTGTGTTTTGTTTGCTGCTGATGTTTGAGATTTTGTCTGTTAGTTCTTTAACTTGTTTCTTTAAAGTGTCCCTGTCTTGTTCTAAATCTTCAACCTTACGTCGCAATACTGCAGATTCCTAAAAATGTTAAGTCATACAATATTAGCTGTTACACTTTCTTCTCTGGTTATTCGTTCACCTTCACCTGTTTACCTGTTCATTGAGTTCGAGTAAAAGTCGTAATTCAGCTGGATCCTCTTCATCCGATATTCCTTCATCTTTTTCATTTGGAGCTTCAATGGATAGTCGATTACTTGGAGGTGTTGGCGACAGTTTTCGGCCTGAGAACAAGTAAAAGTCGAATGAAAACTAAAACTCAAACGTTTAACTAAGAAACAGGTAAAATGACAGATTAATTTAATTACATAAATGATGCAAACTCATTGTTAGTTACAGTAATTATAAAATAGACTGAAAATATATATTTTGATTATAATTTGCCGCAAAACTCAAATCACGTCTACGGAATGGACGGAGTAGACTGGAGAAAATGGCTACCATAATTACGCCAGTTTAAGTATACATATCTGTATGCATTTACAGAAAGCCTAAAAAGGGGTAAGCGTTAAGTACATAAATGTAAAGTGTGTTAGATATTACACGATAACGGTTTTGTGTGGTTAAAGGTGTGATTAGTTATTAAGATTTAGGATACACAAACTAAGTAGATTTCAAGAACATATTTATATTGACGTACTTCTGGCTTTGGTAGCCATTTTCTTCAGCTGTAGAAGTAACGACTCATTGTCGTCCTCAACCCTTGATGCAGTTTTACGCAAGTTATTGGCCTGAAAATATTAGTCTATTTAATAATGTAATATCAATTTGAGCTATGTAATTAATTATATTAGTGTATAATATTGTTAAAATTATGTAACTAGCGACAAAAACAACAATAATTAACTGGGTCATAAAATCTAATGTACCTATAATTGGTATCCTTGCCGCCAAGGGATTAAATAATGATACGAAGGGGAATAAGCGATCTGATGGGCCGGGTACTGTCCTATCGGATGAAAGAGGAGGACTTTCAGACTTTTCTTTTCTATGATCTAATATCTCGCAGTTTTTCATACTCTCAGTGTCGTCTGAATGTGAATTATTTGGACCGCAAGCCTCAGTCAACACACCTATATCTGTTACAAGCAAGTCTTCTGTATTAGTGTTAGCATCAGTGCTTTCAATTAAATAATTTTCCATTTGTGTACAGATATCATTCCTTATTTGAGGAGCGGTCTGTGTAGCAGCTACTCTTTCTTTTGCTTTGTCTGTTTGTGTAAGACAATTTCTTTGTAAAACATCGGTTTGGCCAAATTTATTTTTTGTAAAGGGAATTTCGGTTTGCGTGTACATTTCCGAATTTGAAATGGCACACTGAATATTTGAGTCTAATGTTATTTTTGTTATTTCCGTCCCGATGTCTAACAATAATATTTGATCAGTTTGACAACCCTGAGAGTAGTGTTGGACATGATCTTGTGGAGATTGCGTGATTTCATTGACACCTATAGTAAGTTTATTTAAATCGAAGGATGCTAATTTTTTATCTAGGGCAATTTGGGTTTCGATAATTTGTTGTCTAGATTTATCTTCTATCGAATTAGTTGGAGATTTAGAGGTTAATGCGAGCTGAGGGAGATTTGGTAGATGTGGAATTCTTCTGCCTGCGTAGCGATGCCTATAACGACTGGCCTGTTAGAAGACAAGATTCCATAAGCTCAGACCTTGATTTGTGTAAGCAAAAGAGTTTTTTTTTAAATAATATACTATTAAATGTTAACTAGCTATTAGAGGTATAGTTAAATAGCTAATAGAGACAAAAATTTATAACTATAATGTGTTTTACCTCTTCCTCCGCATTGCGCAATTGTTCCCGCAAGTCGGCTTCTCGTTCCAGCGAGTCCTGTAAGTCCCGCAGCAGTTGCGCGGGGTCCTCTTGGCTACCACCTCGCGTTAGTGATGACCGCGACACCTTCTGTTAAAAAAAATATCGTATTCGATAATTGAAAACTCAGATATATTGGAAATTGGAAATTCGAAGATAATACAAATAATGATATGTGCATTTTAAGGCAAATAAGTTTGCATGGCAATATAGTTACGCCGTCAGCGGGAGGCGTGTGTTTCTTGAGATTGGCGGGCGGGGCTCCGGACACCGCCGCCAGCTTGGCGTTGGCATCCGCCAGGTCGCGCTGCAGCCGCAGCGACACCTCCGTGGAGCGCGCCACTTCCTGCTCCAACTCCTTGATGCGGTTCTCGCGCTGCATTCCATCTTGACCACCGACTATCTAATACCAACAAGGAAAACTTACTTTTTGAATATATGTCTTAAGAGATACAAGTTGACTACGCGCATCGTTTTATCATACCTCCAATAGCTTCTTTTCCTGTTCAGCTTTCTCTATTTCTAACTGCTCAGCTCTTCTTTCAGTCTTCTTTAATTTAAATGACAAAACTCTACAGTTCTTAATTGTTTGTTCTAATTCTCTTCTCAGCGACGAATATTCATCAGCTTGGTCTTCCCTGGGAAAGGATATTAAGATTAATACAAAGTTCATTAGTGAAATTAATAAAGAGACATGTTTAAATTTATTACCTGAAGTTATCTTGCATTTCTTCAATCTCCTCTTCGAGTTCTCTCAGTTCTTTTTTCATATCCTCATTTTCATCCATTAACTCTTCGCATAACGTTTCTGCCGCTAACAATTTCGAGCGTAACTGCTCGATCTGTTTTGTTTGAGCTTCTACTGACGGACGTGACTGCAAAAAAAAATTCCCAAAAATACTTCGCTTCTTCAAAAATTATTAAAAACTGTATAGACTACTTTTTATGATGATATTAATACCTCTAGCTCTGCTTCTACTTCTCTTACTCTAAGTGCAAGATGTTTTTTCTCATCTCTCAAGTCTTCATTTTGTGTCGTCAGTTCGTTAACTTTTTGTTGCAACTTTAGAACCTCAGACGATCTGCCTGAAGTGTATTTATTAGCGGTATCTATATTTGCTAATCTTCGAAGTAGTATGTCACTTTTTTCTTTTTCCACTCTTTCGCATCTCTTTCTTAGAAGGTCCACTTCTTGTTTTAAATTTTCTATTTGGTCCTTAAATCAGATGTTTAATATTACATTTAACCACTCTTATTACATTATTATCTATTGCGTGTATATTTAATTTTTGACAAATGACATACGACGACTCAGGTAGATTATTTCGTCAATATCTGTTAAATATAGCCTCAGCAGTCTCCTATTAAGATCAATTTAATTATAATGAAGTTCTAAATCATTGGTTACCTGATAATCTTTAATGTTAGCATCAACTAGCGTGGTATCTGTGGTAATAGTGCCAGCAGTACTTGTGTCGTCGTCTGATGTCTCCTCCTTGTCTCGAGCTGGGCCACCTCTTATAGGAGGTTTAGAATTTGACGAAGTGTTTCTGGAATTCTTTACCTGTAAAATGTAATAGTGAATCTTCAATGTCATGATACTAGTGTTAATGTTGCCGTCCCTCTCTTTCTCCTCGGTTTAAAAAATAGCTAGTATTTAGTTAATTTATGATTTTATTAGCAAAAATCATACCTGAATTAAGAAATTAACATCGTCCTTAGCAGACGCTCGTTCTTCTTTTAGTTTAACCGTTTTCTCTTCCTCTTTACTTCGTGACGTACTCCGTCTTTCTCTTTCTTTCTCTATACTAGACTCCTTCTCAAAGCTATTCTGCGACTTTATTAGTTGCATCTGAAAATTTAAACGCAAAAAAATGTAATCATTAATTTACTTGGATAGATTTTTAATGCTCAATTTGAAACGTATGGTGTAAAGTAAAAACAGCTAGTGATTGTTTTGCTAAAAACGCGAAATTTATACGCAAATCTGTTTATGTTTACAAAGTATTGATTGTATGCGGAGCTGTGGGTTACAAAATATTGACATAATTTACACGCAGACGAGAACTTATTGAAATACAAACAACGAATTCGTACAGATGTTAAAAATAACTATGATAGGTATTGTACCTTTCGGACACGTTCTGCGAGCGAATCGTTCTTGTTGATGGTGATGGTTGCGGCGGCGGTGGGCGGTGGCGATGGTGACGGTCGGCGAATCGATACTGTGTCTGAAAAAGCCAAAATTACTAATAATAATACTGTAACATAGGATTATCGAAATATACGTCTGGAGCGTGTGGTGCGTTAAGAAAGAGTAGAAAGACAAATCATAACCGCCAACTTCTACTCTCGTAAACTGTACAAACACACATCCTGTCTTGGTTGCGGTTCACCGGCCGACTTCTATTTTCTACAGAAGATACATATTTCTCTATTTAAAATAGTGAGTTTTACTTATCATCGACATCGGCAGACACAACACGTGACTAGTGGTCGCTTCGAAAGTCCACCCTAAACTGTTATTTAAAACTTCATTTAGGTACTTCAAAACTGTAAACTATACAAAGATGATAAAAATGGAGATGACGAATAACCGTACATATTGAATAGCAAAACGTTACCTCAATTATTTAGATACTATCTTAAAGACACAATAGACTTCCTAAGGTATGAGTTTATCATAAAACTATGTAACAAGAATATGCCTAAAGAAATTTTATTTCATAGTCTAGTTTGTTTATAATTTATCTGTAAATAGATAGTTAAACAGTACAAGAGTTGTTTAGAAGAATAAATAATTATGATAGTTTAAAGAGAATTAATCGCGTGTTAATAAAATAGCAGAAAGAGAAGGGCGAAATAGATATGTAACCTTAAATTGTAAAAAGTCAAGCAGAAATAGATTGCATATTTTATTGATTCTAACTTTTATATTAAATCAATTCTCGATAATCAATTAAACATGAAAAATGCGACTCTTCTACTTCAATGTACTTGGTAGTATTCTGTGGTTTACTTTTTTTTTTGCAAGCTTTAGCAGTATATTACTTGTCTCGATCGAGTAGTGTTTATGCACACTCGATCCAACTTTGATAGAAGAAATGATATTGGGTTGTGTGTAAATGAGCAATCTGGATTCTAGATTTATGTATGGGGGAATTAACCTGTAATATTCTGACCGGTGTCGATGGAGGGCAGAGGCCCCGTGTTCCGTCGTTTAGGCAGCTTAAGGCTGACGGTCACCGCGGTGGTTGTATCACTGTCGTTCGCCAGGTCGGGCGTTGACGTCCACGTTGTGGTCGTTTTGTTCCCTAAAGATAAAATACTGCTTCAAACTTACAACTCCCTTTATTGTATTGTAGCGTGTTTTTTTTTAATTACAATGGAATCTATAACTTGTTTGGTTGGAAAAATCACGCAAAGGGAATTGTTAGTGACAATTGGTATTGTAGACAACCTGAACAAACGGTTGGATAATGAATTTTCTAGTGATTTCTACATGAAAACGGCACATTAGAATTTTAACACTGAAACTAACGGAGATATGAAATCAAACGTTAAGATGAAAGAATTCAAAACAGATTGAAGTATTGAATCTTTCTTAATAAGAGAATGTAATATAAATACTGGAAAGTATTATATGTATGTGCAAAAAGGTAAAGTTACATTTTAAAGCCCAGGAAGGAAAAAAATGTTACTTTATAAAAAGGAAAGTTAATCTGCGGTTACCTGGTATATTCATGCGAAAACGATGAAAATGAAAGAAGATAAGCTTGTTTAAACGAACAGTACACATATTAACATACTTTAAACAAAAAAAATAAAAGCACTTCTACCCACCTTTAAGTAGTCCTGTGTAACCTGTCGTAGTTATTAATTTCTTCTCATTAAAAAAATCATTCTCATAATATTAATTTTTGAGAAATAATTGCGTTGAAAATTGTCAAGCAGAAAATTGTAATCAATTCAATTAAGAATATCTTTAAATAAGATTTTAATCGCAAATTTAAATCCGTAAGATTAATTGGTAAGTCTACGTATTTACAAACTGACTTTATTGTTTAATTATATGAATTGCTTTAATTAAAAATTCTTCGTATAAATCATACCTGTAGAGAATGTGTCTTTCTTTGATGTATCAATAGAGCTGAGATTTGTGCTGGACGCCCAGCCTCGCCCCGTCTTCTCCCCACTTGCTTCTTCATCTCGACCTCTGTTACAAATGTATTTCAGTTAATTTACGTTATTCGTCATCGATATCCGGAATCTATCTTGAGTGTATCCTCCCGTTTTTCTTGTGTTTGCTAGTCAAACGAGCCCCTCTCTTATGTTAGTGACGCCACCTGGCGACCGATGTGTCGACTTTCCCTCGAGGCAACTTGAGCCCTGAGGCAACTGCCTCAAGGCTCAAGTTTCTTTCTTACGAAGATGGATTCCGGATATCTCAAAGAAAGGTATTAGTAGGTAAAGGGTTTTATTGGTAGGTAAAACTCAATTAGTTATTATACAAATAACTATTTTTAACAAAAACGTCTGTTCAAACAACAACATCGGTACAATTTTACGCATTGGTATTGCAAATCGTATTTTTATTTTATTAGGGACGTTTCTGCATTTAATGGTGCAGCGCTCTTAATTATAAACTAATGAAGTAGTAAATCTAAAAGCGTGCAGTCTTAATATAACTGTAAGTGCGTTATTCCTTGATAGATTTACTCGCCGCAGATGGATTCTTGGCACCGCGCGAGTATCCTTATTGCTAGTATCTGTACATTGTCCGTTACTGCCTCTCGTTGCAACGAATATTTCCATGAATACCAAATTACAAAGTACAATATAATTAGCCAATGCTAATGTAAAATGTGTGCTTTAAACAGTACGTGTAAAACCTCTAAAAATATAGCAAGACATTAGTTAATAACGTATTTTAAATCTTTGACCGCCGCTGATTAGTTTTTTTTTTTTGATTTGCTCTCGGTCCTTATAACATCTTTAGGTCCGGAACTTTAGTTAAATAAAGATCTTAATATAATAAAAAAATTAAAACACCCTATTTTGTTTGATAACTGCAAGGCGACTCCTTGAAAAAGTCCAAAATCAGCTGTCTTGTCTCTTCATTAATTTTTAAATATTAATCAGGTGTTTCAAGCCTATCCATAATGTTTAAAAAACTATGATTTGTCAAAAATCCGTGTGCTAGTCATGCTAGGTTGGACGTCTGTTTAAGCTAAAGCGTGTTTAAAAGATTTAATAAGATAGAAAAATGACAGTATTCAAAATGTACATTTTTTTACAACAATAACTTTTAAAATTTTTAATTTCATTAAAATTACAATCTAATTTGATCGACAATATTTGATTAGACCCTATATATATATTTAATTTTTACTTGGTAACATAAATTAATCTTGTAGTCACTAGTTCTACAAATAATTCGAACGGAATAAATATTCAGTTGACAGTATCAACTTGATATTTAGTGAATTCTGTTAGCAACATTAGTACTGGAAATACTGAGCACGATGTCTACGTATTTGTAGCAATAACAAAATCTGTTTGCAAATTAGTGGAGATTATGTACGGAGGCAGAGTTGGTGTTGCGTCAATCAGTCAGCCGCTCGCCATACAAACAATTCATAAACACATCCGGAGATTTGGAATTGTGCCACATAACGCTTTTTATGGTTTCATTTCGTACAATGTGTTTTATCTCTCTCTAACTGTCGAGGTTCTGGATGTCGAGACCTTGTACTGGAATTTTTATTGTTAGAAGTATCCAATATAATATTGTAATTGAGCTTGTTTCAAAAGCAAAAATTAAACGTATCTTGGAAGACAATAGTAGTAGATGTGTGGATCATAATGTAAACAATAACAAATTAAATCAAATTTCGTTCTGTCGTCTATGAAATTTCTTGTCGGATTCTTTCATGTTTTTATTCCGGTTATGCTTTGATATTTTTGTTCTGCTGTTTAATTAACACAAGTTTTATGCATATAATAAGTTAATGCAGACATTTTTCAATTGAAACATATATCGACGATGAACCTGTGAACAGTTGGTTTTGAACTATCTTTCTCTTGCATATGTATCGTAGTGGATTATCAGTCTTTAATATTCGTTTGTATTATCGATTATGCACATCTACATATAAGAAAATCTTATCATTGAGTGAGTGTTATGACCAGTTTACGTCGCTCGTAAAAACATTACTATATAAAGTAATTCAAGTTTCACTATCCAGTATTCCATTTGGCTTTCAACACATTTCTTGGTAAACGTCAACTTTCTCTGCAAGCTGTTTCTTAGGTGTAATTTAATTATTTGCATTTTTATTAAAGACTTGGAAATATATTTTTTAATGTTCAGTTTAGTCGCTTGGAATCAAAGGAGATTCGCTAATTTAAGCTTTTAAACGATTGGATAAAAATTGAGTCAAATTTAGTGTAATACTCTGCTTTACACTAAATTTGACTCAATTTATTTATTTTTCTAGAATCAAATTTATAAAATGGACATGAAATGATGCTAACCGTGCGGCGCCGGCGGGCGAGGCCCAGGTGGCGAGGCTGGGCGTGGAGGCAAAGTCGTCGTCTCGTCGGCGTCCCCCGCCGCCTCCGCC